GAGGGAAAGGCCGGTGACCAGACGCCCACTGCCTCCCAGCTGCTCGGTGTCCTGTTATTCCTGACGAGGTCACGTACTGAGAACAAACACAAAGGCGCACAGGAAGGCAGGGACACCGTGGCACGTGTGCCTCCAGGACATGCCAGAGCGTCGGCAGCTCCCACTGCCGCCCTACTGTGGGCCATGCATGGGTCCTGCCTTTGCTGGCATGGAGGCCACGACACCTGTGTGCCCAGGGGCGGCTCCACATGCTGCTGTCCTGCCAGACTCCCTGCCCTCGTCACCGCCCTGCAGGAGGAAAGGGAGGAAGAGAACAGACCTTCCTGAAGTCAGATTGCCCTGTCCTGGGTTTTCTTTCGAAGTGGAGAACTGGCTTCCTTCCTTCATGCATGGCCACAGGTCACAGGTAAGAGTCGCACTCGGGCCAGCGATGGCACAGTGGTTACAGTGCGGTTCAAGTCCGGGACCAGTGACGTGGAAATCGCACTGGGCACATGTGCACGCGTGCCCAAGATCCCGAGAGGAGAGCGGAGAAGGGACTGCGGTGTGGCCAGCCCCCTGGGGGCGACTTCCTCCTTTCCCCTCACAGTCTCTGTATCTCTCTCTGGCAAAAGCACATGCCCTATGGCAAAAACCTCTAAAAGAAATAAAGACAAAGAGAAGGAAAAGTGGCATTCGAGCACCCATGGCACACACGGCAGTCTGTGAGATGGCGAGGCCACAGCCCGCGTGTCCCGGGTGCCAGCAGAGGGGGCACACGTGATAGGCCGGCAGCGTGTGCTCTAAGGTGCGGCGGCCCTCGGACCTCCAGCGGCTGCTCGCTCAGGACTCCAAGCAGCAACCTAGCCTCCGGACAGAGCAGGGACAGAGCAGGGACAGAGCAGGGACGCTGGTCCTGGCCCCGAGTTCCCGTTTCTCTGCGCTGTGTAGCGTCACCCCCTCCGAACCCCTCTTTTCCCATAGTCAAAGAAAAACTTTCTGTGACTCTGCGGAGAGGAGGCCAGGGCCAGTGTCAAAGATGTGGGAAGAGACACACCGTCCAGCAAAGAGAAGCCGTCACCTCCTCTGCCTCCCTCCAGCACGGGCCACGAGGTCACATCAGGACCTGGCCCCAGGCTGTGGCAAAGCATGTTCACATGAGGCCACCCTTCCCGAAGCTCCTGTTCCCTGCAACCTTACCCTCCCCAGGGCTGCTCGCCAGCGGGTGGCTGCCATGGGCCTCCATGGACTTTCTTACCTGGGGCCACGAGGATTCAGGACAGAGGCCCACAGGGAGGGCTGGCCCCGGCGCAGGGCACTGGGCCTGCGGTGCCCGCGGCTGGGTCCGGCTGAGTCCACGTGGGAGCCGCTCAGGCCTGCCCGAGCCGGGTGCCCGCCGAGGCCTCCCCGAGCCGGTCCCAACGTCCACAGGCTGCGGTGAGCGGCGGGACGGGATTAGTCCTCTGGGCCGCGATCCAGTTTCCCGGGCAGGTAGTACCCGGCGGGCAGGCGTGCGGGGTGCGCGGGCCACCGCGGAAGAGCCCGCCTCGCAGGCAGAGCGCCCCGAGCTCAGGCCAGCCCCATAACCACCTATGCAGCCCCCGAAGGCCCTGACCCCAGGCACCTCCTCGACACACCGACGGCGAGTCACCGCTCTCGAACGGGCGACCCCAAGTGTGAAGTGCCGCCTGCCAGAGCCCTCACTTCCGCGACGTGAGAGCCCGCGCATGCGCAGTCACCGCCGCCAACACGTGCGGGGCTCCACCTGCTGCGGGCGGGGCAGGGAAGGCGCTGGGCCCACGCATACGCAGGAGTAAAGGTGGTGGCCAGACAGGCAGGCAGACTGACCGCTGGGCGGACACGTGCGTGCAGAGGGTGGGGGGCGTAGGAAGGGAGAATGAGGCAGCTGGTCAGGGACCTGGTGGGCCTTCCGCCGAGGCAGGCGGGCC